TAACTGCAACTCAAGCAAGTTTTCCTGCCTGCACCATGACCATCTACGGTGTAAGTAAAATAATCTTTAATCAACCGCTACGCGTCCGTGCCTAATTCTAGTCCGCCAGCCTGCATTCCCCGACCCGCGTGCCAGGGCTGCTGGCCACAGCCCGCCGCGCGCCCCCGAGGGCCTCGGACCACTCCCGGCCCGCACACGTTCAGGCTCAAACACCTTTCATCAGGCTCTGGGAAAATTAAAGCTGGTAAAAAATCCCCATAGGTAGGAAATAAACTTCATTTTTCCAGAGGGAACTGGAAACTCTGTCCCTCTGGGTCCATGAGAGTGTCTCTGTGAGTTGTTCATTGCAGAACAAAAAGAAAGATTTTTAAACCGCCCTGCTTGCCATTTGACTTTCTACACCTCCTTGCTTGCCATCTCCAGGGAAAGAATCCTACCTGATCTGCACAACAAAGAGCAACTCAGAACAACTCTCAGAGATTTTCTCATGGACCCAGAGGGACAGATTTTCCATCTCCAGCTTCCTCTGTGCAAGTTTATTTCCTACCTATGGGGACTTTTTACCGTCTTTAATTTTCCCAGAGCCTGATGAAGGGCATTTGAGCTCAAAAGTCTGCAAAAAAAAAAGATAATTTTCTTTTGCAGTTTCCTAGTTGGTCTAATAAGAGGTATCATTTCTGAACCAAGAGTTCTAGATTTTTGCATTTCTTCAAGTGCTTTAGGTGACAGAGAATAAACAACTGGTGCATCACGTTTACATGACTAGAAGTGAAATGTTAGACCCCTGGAGAAGCACAGAGGGAGATTACAACAGCAGCCCTTAAATGTGATGCCACAAGAGACTGGGTTCCTTTCACAGTTCCTCTTCTTTGTTTCCCTCCCTACTGTGGGTGAGATAAACAGCAAGGATGATCTCAGCACATAGGGCCCCTGTTTGTTTTCTCAGCACCAAGATCTTTGACATGTTCAATCACTCCAGTGAAGATTAGGAGCACTCCAGTAGTCCCTGTTTTTTCAGTCTAAGGGCCACACTGAGAAAGCAGTGTTTTTAATGAACCATTTCCCACCCTGGAACACCCAACCCACTGGCTGATTTACAGCATAGTTTGCTGCTGCTGCTTGCCAGGTAGCTTTTCGTGATTTTTTCCACAGCCTATGTTGTAAAATCCTTCCTGATTTTCACAAGAACAAGGCTGTGTGCTGACTGTACTGCAGTATTCCTTCAGGCTGTTTCATTCTGATCAAATAGGTCACTCTACTGCTATTATTCTGCATCCACAAACTTTAAAAAAGCAATATAAAAGGAACAGACACATTTTGAAGCAGGGGGAGGCAGAGGAAGTCACTAACATTGCTTGGCCTGTAATGGAGTGCACTCTAATCACCAATGGTGGATCCAAAGTGTCAATTTTGCAGCACATCTAGAGGCAGTGAAAGATCCACTTGGATTGTCTCTGGATGGAAATTGCTGTTCCTTGTGATCGTTGTATGATGGCAACACATAGCCAGGGGGTTTCTGTGCAGGGTGGAGAGCAGGGCTCTCTTCAGCTCTGGCACCTGTTCTTGAAAAGTGAAATTTTGGAAAGACTGGCAGGTGAATCTGCCGCCCAAGGTGGAATTCAGTGGCTACCCTTGAGTAAAATCTTGAGATGAGTCTTCAAGGAGGCTGTCCAACAGTATAGGAAAAATTTGCCATCAGCACTTGGATCCCTCACTCGCAAAAGCTATCTCTGTGGACAGATAGAGGAATTCAATAGCAGTTCAAACAGTAGACTCACCAAGGTTGTCAGAGCTAGATTCAGGTCTTGCTGAAGGATTGGATTGGTCACCGGAGAGGGATAGGAGGAGTACATTAGTCAGACCTCAGAGTAACGTCACCACTTCAGTACCATGGGAGAAGACAGATTTTCTCTCTGGTTCAGTGGTGATATGAGATAGCAGGTAAGTGCACCCTGACAGAGTCAAGACAGAAGTTGCAAACCTGCATCTCTAAAAGGGTGTCCAGAATAGCTAGAACATCCCAGTCTCCCCAGGAGGTTTCGATTTGTGCACCAAGCTGAGAGCCCAGCTCACTTGACAGAGTTGGCTTGTTGGCTGAATCTCACTCTGACAGGAGATAAGCAGATTCTCTCTAGATGGAAAGTCCTTCTTTACCCCAAGAGCAGAGTCCTGGGGTTCCCCAACAACACAGAAAGATGGCCTGGGGATCCCAGAGGGTGCTGAGGAGCACCATGCCTTGGTGAAGCTGTGCCCGGATATGTCGTGCCAGTGGGGAAGCCAATGCTGGAACCCTAGCGCTGAAGATGCCGTGGCACTAGTGAAGATACTGCTGAATGCTGCAGGAACTTGCCCCTATTTTACCACAGTAAATGGATGGTCTCTCTGGATCCAGGCTGATTTAGGATACTTCCAAGCTCTGTTGGGAACCATGCAGGGCCATATTTGGGGAACAAATGGGTAAAGAGGAGGCAAGGATCATGAAACCCTAAGGTGAGGATTTTCCCTTCAAATTATCCCTAGGCAAGAACTCACCAGCAGATAATGGCAACTTCTTGGATGCCAATGACAAGTCTCCTGGAGAAAGCGTCTATGCCTGGAGGAGCTGTACCCATCTGCATCTTGTGCCCAAGAGTCTGAGGATGACTATAAATGTCCCCAGTATGTACCTAAAGCCTGGCTTCCTAACCTAGGAAGTGGAGAATTTGCATATGGTGCACTTCCCAGGGACACGTGCCTGTCTGGGGCAAAATAAGCACTGGGTGGGCCTATCCATGGCAGAGCCAACCCCACTGTAGGAAGAATAGGTTTTAGGCACAATGGCTTTCACGGTTGCTAGTTTTCTAAAGCAAACCATTTTCAGTGAAAACACATCTCCAGAGGCCTTTTTTTTTTACTGAGTTACAATTAAGAACAGTCATAGAGAAGTAGGACTGAAAGTGACCTCCAGAGGTCATCTACTCCCCCCTGCCTTAGACACAATCATCCCTATCCAAACCAGCCCATGCAGCCATAATCTAATCTCCTTCTTACATAAGACTACCATCAACCCTGGCACAGTATAGACCTAACACCCTAACCTGCCATAGGTAAAGCAGGAAAACCGTGGCAACCAATGGCCAGCCCCTATAAAATGTTGTTAATATAAGCTCAAGAGGTCCCAAGTAGAGGGCCATGGCCCCTGCTACCAAGAGATTACTGTAAATTGTAGAGACCTACGGACCTGTACCTGCTACTTACTTCTGTGGCAGGAAGCTGTACTCAGAACTGAAGTAGGGGGGTTGGTTAAAGGGGGAGAAAAACTGAGTCACTAGGAGTTTGAGTTCATGAGGTACGTGCCTCCCCCACAAACAAAGCAGAATGTGCAGGTGGACAAGCACTTGAAGGAAGACGGTGCTTTCTCCACCCATAAACCATGGTGTTCTGCTGCTTCTTCCTTGGGGAGTGGGCAGTAAATGGCTGCAGGAAAAGGGGATGTGCTAGCTGGCACATGATGCCTCACATGCTGTTAGGCAAGCTCTTGCCCAGGGAGTTGCAGGTAAAATTTCAATAGTGGCAGGAGCCTCCCTTTCCTCCTCCCTCTCCAGGCTCTAGGTTCA